TGCACAGCCAGGAAGGAGGAGATCAGGGGGGGCTTCCCTGAGGGCCAGCCGGGATGGGAAGGGGGAATGAGGAGGAAGAGCGATGGGGAAAGGCTGTGGGGTCAGGGGAGGGAAAGGAGGAGCTGAACTCACTCAGGTTGTGATTGTCTTTCTTCTGGCGCTCTTTGGCCAGGGCTCGGCTCTCGGCATCTGCAAGAGACCCACGGTGTCACCCAGAGGGGACAGGGCTGCACCTGGGCTGGCGCTGCAGCCCCGTACCCCCATGGGGACGGGACAGCCCCGTTCCTGTCCCTGCTCTGGGGCCGGGACATACCTGTGAGTTCTCTCTTCTGGGTGAGGTCGGCGGGGCAGGAGCTGCTGGTGACACCAACGAGCGACGCCGTCACCTGCGGGTCCCCGCTGTAGACATTGATGTGGCTGCTGGACATGGGCAGCTGGAAAGCAGAGGGACAGCTGGGTTAGCTCCACACAGGGCTGGGTTAGCTCCACACGGGGCTGGGTTAGCTCCACACAGGGCTGGGTTAGCTCCACACAGGGCTGGGTTAGCTCCACACGGGGCTGGGTTAGCTCCATGCAGGGCTGGGTTAGCTCCATGCAGGGCTGGGTTAGCTCCACACGGGGCTGGGTTAGCTCCACACGGGGCTGGGTTAGCTCCACTGGGGCTGGGTTAGCTCCATGCAGGGCTGGGTTAGCTCCACGCAGGGCTGGGTTAGCTCCACGCAGGACTGGGTTAGCTCCACGCAGGGCTGGGTTAGCTCCATGCAGGGCTGGGTTAGCTCCATGCAGGGCTGGGTTAGCTCCATGCAGGGCTGGGTTAGCTCCACGTGGAGCTGGGTTAGCTCCACACGGGGCTGGGTTAGCTCCACGCAGGGCTGGGTTAGCTCCACACAGGACTGAGCACCGGGCTCACGCCCAGCTGGGCTGGTGGAATTGTCTTCCCAGGTCCTTACAGCAGCTTTCAGCAGAGCAGAAAAGAAAACAGGGGCTTCAAAGGGCACAGCTGATCCCCTGCCATGGCCAACATCTACAGCAGGGCAGGAGAATCACATCTGGGAAGGGCTGGGCGGGATGAACCCCGCTGGGAGGCACGAGCTGCCACACGGATCTGACCTGGACACTGCTCCAAGCTCCTGGCAGGGAAAGCTCCCCTGGCTCTCCATCTCTCCATTCACCCGTGTTCCCTCCCCATGACTCTATCCCACCTCTCCAATTTTTTCAAAGCGTTCCCACCAGTCCTCAAGGAGGACAAAAAGCTGGAGAACTGATTCTTGTGGGTGTTGGTGTCTCCAGGGACCCAGATGGCTTGAGCTGCCACCAAG